CCCCTTCTGAGCCTGTGTCCTTTTCTCTCCTTGCAGGCGGTGACAGCAGGGATGGGGCAAGCTGGGTTGGATCTGGAGCAGGCATCTGGCTGTGGGGCCACCTCCCTGGTGTCTGTCCCCCCACACAACCTGCTGCTGGACTCTGGACTGAGCCCCCATGTACGGGACAGGAACACCCCGAAAGGGAGCCTGCCCAGCACCCCAGACTTGCCAGGGTGGCTGCACCCTGCCTTTGGGGATGGGCTCTGTCCCCTGGCCCCGTGTTGGATTGTTTTTGTAAAGAGAAATGTAATTTTAATATATATATTATATATATAAAAATATTCTATGGAGAGGAGGGTGCCCGTGGCCATCTGCCAGGTTCATCCCTGCCACTGCACAGGGACAGGCCATGTCTCCACGGGTGCTGGTTCCTCCCTGCAGGTGGCTGGGAATGTGACTTGTGGGACCTGCAACAGGGATGGTGCCTGGGACGGAATGCACGTGTGCAGTGCCAGCAGGCTCTGGGGATCCCCAGGGAGCTGTATGACACCCGTAAACCCCCTGGTGATGTCTCCCAGGTGATTTTAGAGTGGAAAGATCTCTGTATGTAGGGCTGCTGGAGTTTGTTTCATGCGGTCACGCCCCCAGGAACAAAGCTTGAAGGCTGGGCACGGTTTTGCCCCCTCCAAACAGGCAATGTTTGCCCACAGGGCTGCCCCTGTGTAGGGTAGCCCCCCATGGTAGGGCCCCCCGGCCCCCGCACCCCCGGGACTTGGCTCCCGGCTGCCGCCTGAGTCCTGCCCCGGCGAGTGGCGGGACCTGCGTCGCTCGCCACCCACGCGTGGGGCGTTGTGCAACCAGATGCCACCGCGCAACCGCAGCCAGGTGCCAGGGGGGGCCGGGGTGGGGGGTGGCCCCTGTGGGGTTCCAGGCCAGGTGGCAGTGCTAAACTCCCCCGGTTGGGTGTCAGAGCCCCTCAGCTGGATTCCCTGAGGTGACATCTTGCAGCAGTATCAGGAAGGAATGTCTGTGCAGGTAGAGGAGGACCTCGGTGCTTAGACCAGCCGGATCTGTGGGCAGTGGTGGTACTTGGTCTCTAGGTTGCCCTCGCTCCAGAGCTTGGTGTCTTCAGAGCAGTGAAGTCTCACAGTGAGCCAGGAAGGGCTGCACTGGCACGGCTGTGGATCCCTCCCGGTGGCACCTGGTACCCAGCCACATCTGTGTGCCATGTGCACCCACAGCTCCGCTCGTCTCTTGTCCCCCAGCCCTCCCTGAGCCTGGGAACAAGGAGCTTTGCTAGTGCTGCTCTGGTCATGGCCATGCATAGGTGCTTTGGCCTCGCCGTGCCTTAGTTTCCCCATCAAAGGTGCAGATACCACGGCATGGCAGCCGGGTGTGACGGCAGGCAGTGAAGTGAGGAAGGCACCTTCACCAGCTTCGGTTCCCCCCTTAAAGTGACCCCAGAGATGGGCTAGGCCCTGCGAAGAAGCAAACGTGTTTGCTGCCGTGGCCCCGCTGGGACCCTTTTTGTGGCCGGGTGCACCTTGCCTCTGTCCCCGGTGGAAGGTGACCTTCCAACCCAGGGCAAGGCCTGGCGCCACCGCCCACGGAGGAGCAACCTCCCGGCTGGGCTTGCGTAGGCGGCGGCAGCGATGGCACAGATAACCCTGCGCGCAGGTCCCCGCGCGGGGCCGGGGGGGCTGGGGCAGGGTTAGCAGGCGGGACCCCGAGGCAGCAGTGGGAGGCTGCTCCTTCCTCCTTCCTTCTTGGCAGCAAGCCCACCCCTGCCAGGGGTTACCTGCCGTGCGGCCGAGCGTGGGGCAATCGGCAGGGAATGGGGGGGTTTGATGGAGGGGTGCAGGGCTCAGGGTTGGCCCACTCCTCCCAGAGGTGCTGGGAACCCCTCTCCTCGTTTGTCATCCCAGGGCCCTTGGGCAAGTTGACTTTGCAAGCCATCACGTGCTCCCTGGGGACTGGGGAACCCACCTTTGGGGTGTCAACCATAGGGGTTATCTGGGATGGGCCTTGAAACCTCCCATGGTGAAATGTGTGTACCCCAGCAACAGTGGGTCCCCAGGGCTGGAGGCAGCCACCTCTGCGGCAGGCTGCAAGGACATGGAGCCATTGGTGCAGCAGGTAGGGCACGTGGCACCCTTGTCCCCCCCCCACCTGGGGGAGTGCTCACCTACGGAGCCACCTCGCTTCATCGCTCTCCTGGGACAGGGAAAGCTGCAGCCTAGTCCCTGCTGCTGAGGAACCACCATGAGGAGCCAGGGCCAGCGGCTGCTCTGGAGCTGGGCACTGTGGGGTCTCTGGGTGCTGCCAGGTAAGTGATGGGGTTCCCCACACTGCTGCTGCTCTGACTGGGTGGTCGATAACATCTGGGTGATGGGCTGCAAACAACTCTCCGCCTGCTCAAGTGCTGCAAGTTTGAGCCTGAGTACCTGGCTGGGTTTGTCCCCATCTCCACTGGTACCACAGGCTCAGTGTGGTCTCCCAACTACAACAGGGGAAGTGGGGGTGGGGGTTTGTGGGTCAAGTGGGGACTGTTGCCCATGGGGAAGGTTCTTATCTTGCTCTTGGTGTTGGTCTGGCTGTGTGTGCTGGGGTGGGGAACAGCCCTGAGGATGATGTGTGGCCTGGGGGCACCTTCCTCCTGTAGCAGGGAGGAGAAATGGGTTTGATGGGGACCATAGGGATTCTAGGCTGGTTTTTTTTTCCCTTGTCCTGCCCTCACCAACCTGCTCTGCTGCCAGCACAAGCTGGGGAGACAGGGGAGCAGCCCCTTGCTCCTGTGGCAGATCCCGGCAGGATTTCCTCCGAGTCTGACAGTACCAGCACCGAGCTGGCTCTGGAGCTGGGCATGTGCCAGGCAATCCCCGACACTGCAGCCACCCAGCCAGAGCACCTCTCTCCAGCTGGCAGGACCACCACAAGCACCTCTGCAGGCAGCCAGGGCCCAGGTAAGGCTGGGAGGCC